CGGATTTTGTGACCGTGCTTGGAATGTTTTTTAATATTACTTAAATCGCAGATTCTAATTTCATGTGATAAGTATGAAAACTGATCTATGTTCTTTGAAGGCTTGCTATGGAGTTTTTGAAGTCATCTATGGAATTGGTATGAAGATAAATTACTCTGTTTTTCATATCTGCTAGAAATTTTTCTAGCTGATTTTTGCCTGAGTGCATTTTCTTTTGCCTTTTTTTAAAAGTTCTTTGAGCTGAAATGCAGTTTTGATTTGTTCTAGATCATTGGGCTGTTCTCTTATGAGTCTTGAAATGCTTGTGGAAACAATATGAAGGTTTCGTTCAGGTGTTAATTCGGGAGTTTCAGAGCCACTGTCCGTACGGCTTTGAATGGAATAATTTGGATGTGCGGTTTCTTTTTTGGCGGCAATGTGGTTCGGAAAGACATTTTTAAATTTATCGAAGGCACCGGCTAATTATTCTGGCTGCTTTGAATGAGTTTCTGAGTGTTTAATTCTTTAAACTTTTTTCTGACTTGAATCCGTTGGTTTTTAAGAAGACCTGTTGATTAAGTATAGTACTGGAAATTGAATTGGATGAATAACCCGAATCATTCTCGTGGTCACTTTTATTCCAATCAGCCCATAATTTATCCGTAAGATCTTTATTGGCCATCGATCGAGGAGAGAGGAGCTCAAAAAATACTTATACAGAGGCAAGTTGATAAACATGAAAACATCTTGAGATAGAAACTTTAACTTGAGATAGAAAGTAAGGAACTAAAATAATTTCTAATTAGCTAAACTTTAGCCGAAGCTGTACAGAAATAACTAAGCGAGTTGGCCCGTAATTAAACCTCATCGGCGAATATTGACGGGCACGTAAGATTACTGCCGAACGTAGTAAGATAGGCTTAAAGCAACGACAAGGCCCGAAGGCAGAACATACTGAACTGTGAACTTCAGAGCTGTTCTACGCAAGTGACTGAACTTTCCATTAAATACTGTTACTAATTCATTTACATAAAACGTGATGCTGAAATCTCATTCCGGTAGAGAGTTGTAGTTTGAAAAAAGGGATTTAAAGGTAAGGGTTTCTAAATTAAAAATGACTATTACGAAATTTTAATAATCCCTACAATATGGAGGTCTTCTAGACTTGGTTATCTTTCCCACGCTCGACTTTGACCTATTTATTACCTATTGGACCTATTATGAGGAAAACCGAATTCTTTTATATAAGGTCTATTATTCTTAACTTTATTCATATTTGATCCTTCAGGTAGAACGATTTGAAAATTGTTTAATTGTCTGCCTACTGCGGTGGTCTCTGGAATAATTACACTTCATTTATCACGCACAAATAAATCCGTCGCTAAATTTAACTGAATATGTAACTGAATAATATATTGGTATTTTCTAATTCTTTATTTGCACTAAATCTAAGATAGATAAAAAGTCATATTATTTGAAGCTAGCTATGAATATCTTTCCGTGCACATGACACGGCAGCTTGATTCAGTGCTTTACACAATGGAGTCCAACTCATGTATAATTCGACACTCATAAATCGGCGTTACGTCTCCCCGGTCATCTCTCTCTGGCAAAATTTCGGCTCTCATTGCTCTTTTGGATTATATTCACACTATTATTTATCCATCCTAACCAAAATTGCTACATAACTTTCAGTTAGTAATTAATTGAATTAATATTTTAACAACCTCTGGATTAATTGATATCTACATTAGTAATAATATTTTGACGCAAGCCTGGAGCTTTTAAAATGGAGTTATTTTTTTATTTATGACAATAAATAATATATTGAAAGTCCATAGCTTTGTAAAATCAATGAGCACTGCAGTCAAACTCCACTACAGCGAACCCGTCTCAACGAATCCCCAACCATAACGAATGAACGTTTATGGTTCCGTCCAATTTTCTTGTGGACTTAATGCTATTTTATACGGCTATAGTGGAATTAAAAATCTATTAGAACAGTATATAAGAAAATTTGTGGATAACGTAAGGATAAAATTTTTAGTATTTTTCAAGCTTTTTCCCAGAATTTCTGAAACCTTGAAATCAAAAATTACTATCGCTTAAATTCATCACTCTTAGGCTATTATAATAGAGAAAAACACCTTTAGGTTACTATTCATTTATCTTCACCTAAACCCTTTCTCTGCGTTCTAAAAAAAAAAAAAAAAAAAGTGCTATGGGAAGCAGGAACGGCATTTAATTGAGGGGAAAAACTAAAACAAACAATAAGCATAACCTTAGAAGATCCTTTATTGTGCTACGTATTGAGCCAAAGAAGCATTGATCAATTGACGTATCGAGCTCGAAACGATTCTTTGTTTCCATTCGAAGTCTCTGACGAAAGAACGTCTATAGTGCTTTGTCTGAGCACTCTGTTCAAGGCTGATGCTGATTTTTAACTGTAAATTTGTATTATGGATAAGAATGTGCAAGTGGAGAAAAGGGTCTAGACCAGGGGTCTCCGAACCTTTCAGACACCGGGTGTTATTGGCTCTTTCACGAAGCTTCCAGAGCCAAGATCCAGTTAATTCATCATACCACGAGGTTGCAACTATGATGAACCGCATACTCATTTTTAAACATCGCAGTGATAATTTTCTAATTAGATCTATACGCTATAATCTTACGAAGCACCTTGTTTCTAGATTGAAAACTTTCATGCAGTTTCACCTAACATAAATTCCTTAAAGCTGTTTTTAAACATTTGCAAAAAAAAAAAAAAAAAAAAAAAAAAAAAACACATTTTTGTTCTAGAATATTAGAGATTTCTTCGGTTTAATATGTACGTTACTTGTCAATGGATGAACCTCCCCGTTGTCTCAGTTTATCAGCGCATTTTGTTTACATTTTCATCAGGTACCAACTTTCGCTCATAAGTATTTCATATTCGGGCAAGTTTTGTGTGGGAAAAAAAAAAAAAAAAAATTCAAAATTAAAATAAATTACAACATATACGGAACAAAAGTTAAGATTTAAATAAAATCATTACTGAAAATTTCTATGAACCAACCTGCATTACTACTATGAAAGTAGAAAATATAACTCACGAAACCTTTATTCTTGTAAGAAGGACATGAAATTTTTCACTTCCTTGTACAAGCAAAGAAGTATTGAATCGATCGCGAAAATTTCGATACATATTTCAACAAGAAAAATATCCATTTTGACAGCTCTCGAATCCATCTGAACACATTTTTTTTTTTTTTTTTTTTTTTTTTGCGTGACATCTATACTACGGACAATGTTCTCATTTTTGTGTTGAATTTTATGCTGCGCGAGAATAAAGGACTCTTTTTTTTTTTTTTTTTTTCCCCAAAACGGCTCGCTAATGGATTCAGGAGTGATTTTTTTCCTGACGTCTGTACATTTACATGTACGTACGTATATATATCTCGCATAAATGAAAAGCGAGTAGCTACAAAACGCCAAAAGTTTGACTGCTATAACGTGTATGTCGATTTTGGGTTGGATGCGTTAAAAGTATATATACTTTATTTGTTATCCGGCTGGGTGAGCTGATATTTTTATATGTTGGTAAATTGCACATTGTGTCTTAGACGATGACGAACAGACCCTGTAAAGGGGATAGTTTAGCACTAAAAACTAAGAATTCGAGAATTTTGGCTGCCAGTAGAAGGGGTTGGAAATGTCTAGTTTAGAAGATCTTAGGCTAGATGGAATGATGATGGAGATGGAATGATGATGGAGATGGAAAGTAAAATATAATATTAATTCTGTTGTAGAGATTCAACATAGAATATGATTCACTGTTTCGAAGCAACATAGAGCATGTATAGTTCTCAAGGCAGATTATATTTAACTTTTTCTGAAAGAATAATTTATGTTTCTTACAGCTTTATTCAACAAAGTATGAAACACATTTAGAAAATCCTTAGTTTCCATGTGTTAATTTATTGCACGGAAATCGTACCTTCTAATGCTTCGGAAAACTGCATTTAATTAAAGTTTCTACTTTATTCTTTATTTTTGAGTACTTATTTTTCTCGAATTGGTACTTACTCAGCGAAACATTGATGCGTATCACCCAAAATAGAGAGCAGACTTAAATGCAAAATATTTAAATTAGAAATTAACGTGTGGTAGTTAAGTGTCTCTAGAATTCAGTTGATTTTGTTACGTGCATTCGATTTAATAAACATTTGAAAACTGCATGAGTTTTCACTATTTCTTAGAATTTTGCTTCACTTAATACTCAATTTTGACTAGAATAGCTCACGATATTGGTGACGGTCACAGAAATCCCCTTCCTCCTGAAAAAAGAAAGACGGAAACAAAATTCTGTAACCTACGATTTTTGTCACTACAAGGAAGAAAGTGAAGTAAAATATTCTTTAAGAGCCTATTTTTTGAAAAATGGTGATAGCTTTGAGGATTACTTTTGAATTAATAGTTGAACAAATCGAGCACGTGTTTATGAAACCAAAAGGGGAAGGAGCACAACGTAATATCTTAACTGTAAAATGTGTCCCTCTCCTCTTTTTGGTTCCCTTTTTGTATTTGAGGACATGAAAGTTTAAGAAAAGGGCAGATAAGAGCCCAGATCTTGGCTGAAAATTTTATATAGAATTTTCTTTTGAGTTTTATATAAAATCTGCATCAGTCTGAAATTTTAATACTGTTATTGCTTATTATTTTTAAAAATAAATAAATCACTCGTTAAGTAAGTTATTGACTCATCTTTTATTTTTATTTTCTATATTTTTCAATTTTTAAAGAAGATAACAATACTTTTGGCTTACCGCGAAGTGAGAGCTTAATGTATTGAATGAGAAATCTATCTGTAAAGATATTCGAGAAAATAAGTTTAAATGAAATGCAGCAAAATGTGTGTATAATTTAATATTCCGTGCTAGGAAGTCATGTGGTGTCCGCAGATATTTTTAAATAAATAATTTTGAAATTTAAATGAATTTGTTTTGAAATGCTTTTTTGTCTCCTAAACTAACTATTTTCAGGCAAGTTCCTGCCATTTTACGAAGAAGACGGACTGATCTAAATCCAAGAGAAACTATTATTTTCGATATTTTTGCTCACTTCATAACTTGGAGTGCTCCACAGTTTACTGCTTACATGGAGTGTGTGAGGAATATCTGGAGATCTGTTCCCGATGCCTTTATTTCATTCGACGAAATTAGAGATTTGCTGCTCAGAAACGAAGTCACGAATGTGGAGGAGATCTGCGACACACTCCGGAAACATGAGTTCAGCAGTTTTGATACTATCCATCAGCCGAGATGCCTATCACACTATTCCCGATGTGTGATTAGAAGTGCATTGATGCGCAATTCTCACTTGCCAGACGGCATTTCACATCTGGGCTTGCCTAAGCGATTAGAAGCCTACCTAAACCTGGAACTGGATTAGTTCTTGTATTCCAAAAGCATCTGTATATGGCTGAAATATTTTAATGATAATAAAGAAATCTACATGGAAATCAACGCGTATCAAACTTTTTGCATAACTCAAACATTTTGTGCCGGGTAGGGAAAGTGTTATCAATGTAAATGGTCTGTGGATGATAACACCAAGTTTCTTTTAAGCATATCCATTGCACACTACTTTTAGAGCTTTCTGAAGAGCTAAGTTCAAGTCATATGACATTTTTGAGGCATCTATAGAATCTAGGAAAGTCAAAGAAATTTGATAAGTAGATGAAATATTAATTCAAAAACAATCATAAATCTTAACGTTTAGTAACTAGCCCTGCACTTATTATGCGAAACATAAACTATTAATTTCTATACCATATCGAATGTATAAAAAACATAAAAGTTCCGCTACAGCCGAAAACATGCTGCCAAACCTTTGGAGTACCACGAAGCTATGGAACGCAATTAGAAATCCATGAGCTTCTAAAGGATGTTACGGGATTATTTAATCGTCTGACATTTAACGTTATTTAAGACATTTAGCGTTTTTAATTAAATCAAATTATTTTAGTAGCGAAATAATACCAAATAGTCTAACAAATGGTCAAAATTTCGAGATCTTTAGTGTCCAAGTCAACAACAAAATTCCAGTGATAATGCATGATTTTGCCCAAACTCACGTTCAGCGCTCCAGAAGTTGCACTAGTTTAACAGCTAAATCAATGACCCTTATAGCAAATAATATAAGTGAAAATCCCAATTCAGATTCTTTTCTTATAGTTTATAACGAATGCTTAACATCATGCTAAGTAAGATAGATCTGTGTTCACGAGAAAAGGACAGGTCCGGATGGGGCTGAATTGACCAGTGCAGGAAGCTAATCCACTAGCATTTATTATTATTATTTACGTGTTCTGCCCTAAGATGCTACGTGGAAGAAGGGGTGGCATTGTGGAGGACTTTGCAAGTGAAATTGGCTCGTATGAACACCTTACACACTAGGAAAACCACGAAAATCCCATGCTGTCAGCCGGTTCGCGTTATTAGATCCTCCGACCGAACTACCAGCTTTCAAGGACTTTACCGCTCTACTTTTGGTAGGCCAACCAGTGGGATTTAAAGTTTAAAATTTGAAAAAGTTAAAAATTATAAACTGATTTGCAAAACTATTCATTTTCTTTCATTATAATGGTCAAGAACAGTTCGAGAATATATGTAAAAAAATGCAAACAAAATTAAGCAACCTATAAAATGAAGAATATATGATGATAAAATGTTCTAGCTATTGCGTAATAAGAAACTTGAAACTTGCTGTTGAAAGCACGTTAAGTAATGAGTAAACAAATGACTTCATTTAAATGATGGCACTAGATATTAAATGATATTATAATTTATTATATGTATATTTTAGTCATTAGTTACATTTTAAATACAAGGTATTGCAATTAAGTTCTATGAATGCGTTCATAAATGAAAGGTTAATTAGTAAACACGTTTCATATTCCTTCCAGATAATATCCGTCGTTTCCAATGCACTTTTGATAACAACTGAAAAACTGCAAGTGTTCAGAGACTTGAACCAGTCAGCCGCTGGCAGACCTGCCTCTCAAGCTAGTCAAACTGTTTTCACCAGAACTTAATTTCTAGAACACGATTTAGGTTAAAATTAAAAAAGTGCTGAATTCGGACTCCGGTGCATTTCAACTGAATTTAAACCCTAATTACAACTATTTTAGCTGCACAGTTAGAAATACATATAAAGTCATCTTGAAAGCCTTGGAATGACAACGGTATTTCATTATGACATTTTGACTTTAATACATAAGAATGTTAAAAGTGGTGAAACTGCTAATGATCTCTACCGCAACACGTATTTTATATTCTTTTTCTCTTTTCGTTAGTGTGACTAGTAAAACCTCGACTGCATACACTTGTCTAATGCTCCCACTCATGAATTTTCTTTTCCTCCAATGGCGGACACTACCCATTACAGCCGTTACCCTACCAGTCACTGGCCACCTGGATCACTATCAAGCCCAGGTAACCTGTTAAAGTAAATTATTTTTCGCGCCTGAAATATCAAGTTTCTCACGCAACGGAAAACATTCAAATTTAATTTTTATTAATACAATGTATATTTAATTTCGAATCATTTTTAATTGATTATCCTTAAAAATGCAGGACAGCTAGCACAAATGCTTTCTGTAGAACATTTGTGGTATTCATTTGGTTACATTCATTCCTAATTTACAGTTTCTGGTGACTTATATATATGGCTGTTCATAGTTACTCCAATGCACTTTCTCGGTATGAGGACATCGTTAAAGAGTATTGGAGAGTTCGTGAACTTATCAGGTTCAATGTTCCTTCTAACCTTCTTCGGGAACATGCAAGGACCTGACTCGGAACAGAGAGCTTACTAAAGCTATGTTCAGAACTGTGGGAAGTAAACAGGATACACAAGAAGGGTATACAAAACCCTTTATTTTTCTCTCTTTACAATGACTTCCGTACTTCGGAATACACCGACCCGCTACTTGGGGTCAAAACGTAAAAAGTATAAAAATAAAACTAAACTCTAATTTAACTTTAGAATAATAAACGTGGAAGATTCGCCTTATATTAACAAAGCCGTATGTAGTACAGAGAACTGTGAACACTACAATACGTTTAAAATTTTATCAAGAGGATTAAACCCTCTGGCCTGGAAGGCAACAAGCAACTGCATAACTTCCAAGGTAAGCGGCCTGCTTCGACTCACTGCTTCCTCTCTCTCGCTTGGCAAAAAAGCCACAACTTAAATACTTGGCGTTCGCCAGACAAACTTTGCATAAAAACCTTAACGCTTATAATTCTGGCCGGAAGTAGAAAATAAGAAGTGATAGTAAAGATTTAAAATAAAATAAACGTTAGTAAAATTAAGATCCTTACATACTTCCCGCCAGAGTTAATTAGTTTGAAACTGAGGTCTAAAACGACCTTGTTGAAAACTTTTAGCTCTAGAATCTAACGCGAGGCCAATCTGTTACAAACATACTTCGCTAGAAACTAGAAATTTAAAAGAAAGAAATTTGTTTTTACAATAGCAGCTCCCAGGATACACAATTTTTTTTCATCTGTACTGCATCAAACAGGAGCTCTTATTCAAATCTGGTTCCTTCCAGAGATCTGGAAGGAAAACTAGTTTAATGAAATGTTACACAATGAAATGGCAAGTAACATGTATAATTATACTTCTCTTAACATTCTTATTTCATTCATGACTATTTTAATTATCTCTCCCCGTGCTCTCTGACATGTGTTGTAAAAGAACACCAAACACGAATGTGTTTCTGTCTACGTGTTCCATACTTCCTCCTACAATCAAAACACTAACGTGTTAAAATTCAACATGCCCAGACCTCGTGACACACCCTAATTTCAACTCTAAACCCTGAGGTACTATTCTAAAAGTGGCTAACTCTAAAGTGTAGCGTCAGAGAGCCTAACTACATCATTCAACCTTTAACACATATTCACCATGATCTAGACTTTTTACAGTCACACGAATAAAAAAAAAATTTAACATTCACTTTTACCATATCACGGTATTTCTTAACATTTAAAATAACAGTTCACATGTATATAAGAACATATCAACATGCCGTTAATTTTTACACATTTGAAAACATACATTAGTAGTACATTGTTAACTTCTATTCTTTTCAAAGCAAGTGCCAATTCTTTCTACATTGAACTACTACATTTCAAAAAGTCTTTCAGACTAAAACTTCTTTTTTGCTAGAATGTTTTAAATAAAATTTATACAATAACTTTTTACAATATTAAGTCTTTACACAACGCTATATACATCAACTTTCAGTTTTACGCGCGAGTAATTGAAAAACATAATACCAAAATCGGGTAACAAACTCATTTCTCGCCCTTTTGGCGATAAAGGTAGACCTCGCATGAGGTAAAACTTCTTGAAATCTGCCACTTGCAGTAAGAATGAAAGATTAACTTAAGTTTGCAAAGTAACATAACATTTTACTTATCTTGTGATATTCGGACATCCTTTTCTGGGCCCAGTCCTTAAAGGTATTGCCGACAGTTGTTTTTGATTTATCCTCCTTCTTGTACGGCTCGCCCTTCAGTGCCTTCCTCTGGAAGCTTCCTTTTTTTCACCAGTTCGGTCACCCTTGAATACCTTCTTTTTCTCTGCTTGTGGTCTTGGCCGTTTGATGGCAGCTGGTCTTGGCGGCGGAACCGGGAAACTTCTTTTGTGTTCCTGCTTGGACCTCGTTGCTGGCCGTTCAAATTTCCCTTGTAACTTTTCCTCCGCCGCTGAGGCCCTTCCGCAGTTCGGCGACATTTACTGCGGAGAGTCCTGGTCGGATGAGTAGATCTTTCCGTTTTAGAGGCGGGTTATAGTTGCCGTCAGTTTCTCCTGGTTCTCTTCACATACGTCGTCTTCTCTCCTTCTTCATTCTGGGAGTGTTCGTGAACTCTCTTTTCTGGACGGTGGAACGGCTTTCTTTTCTTGCTACCTTCAATTTTTTCCGCGGGGAAATTTTCTTTTCACTTGCTCCTGCCTCTTAATGGCTTGCCCTTGTACTTGTCGTTTTTTCCACCTCTGGCTTGTGCCTGCGGTTGTCTGCCGTGCCGGATCCTGCAAAAGATCTGAAAATATTTGCATTTATTACGATCGAAGTAGGGTTTGATTTGATCAATGTTTGCGGAGCAGGTTTCAAAATTTTCTGGCTTTTAACACTACTACAGCGTGAGTTATTTTTCTATAACATATGGTCCTTCAAATCGTGGAAAAAATTTGGCAGTCTTAACTTCTGGTGCTGAAGAAAGTGAATGCTTAATTTTTAAAACTTCATCCCCTACTTAAAGTTACTCCCCGTCGTTTCAAATCATAATAGAGCTTTGTTTTCTTTGTGCTACTACTTCCGTATTCTTCTTTGCTTCCTTAATTAGTTTTTCTATATCACCCATTTTAAATTCTGGGGCTCTTCGTTGCACATAAAATAATTTATCTTCTAACGGCGTTATAATCTTTCTGCC